TGGAATATATTCTGAGTTTGGGGATGAAATGTGTTTTTTTTTTAATGTCTGTTAATTCAGTCTGGCTTAATGTGACATTAAGGCCATTGTTCCCTTTCAGTGACTGACTGGGCGATCTATCCATCGATGTTCGGGGGTGTTTGAGTCCCCAGCTGTGTTACTGTAATATTATCAAGTTCTCCCTTTATGTCTTTTTACCATTTGCTTCACATATTGAGGTGCTCCTGTGTTGGGTGCACTGATATTCACCAGTGTTACATCCTGTTCTGGGAGGGACCTTTTTATCATTACACGAAAATGTCTTTGTCTCTTTTTATAGTCTTCGTTTCAAAGTCTGTTCTGTCTGATGTGTGCATGCTACCCCAGCACTCCTGTGTCCATGGAATATCTTCTGCATCCTTTCATTCCCTGTGTCTTTTGCTCTGAAGGGGTGTCTCCTAGGCGGAATATAAGTGGGTCTTGTTCTTTCATCCGCTCAGCGACCCTGAGTCTTCTGACTGGGGTATTTACTCCATTTAGATCTGAAGTGGTTACTGGTAGGTGTGCAGTTATTGCCACTCTGTTCGTTGTGTTTCGGTTCTGTAGTTTTCTCTGTTCTTCTCCACCTCTTCCCTTGTCTTTTCCTGATTTTTTTTCCCATCTTTTGTTTGGGTTCCTTTTTCTCCTTTTTTTGCTATCTTTTGTAGGTTTGTGGTTGCCACAAGGTCCCTATATATTGATCTGCAGCTGTAGCAGACTGTGCTCAGCTGACGGGCATTCAGGTTTGAACACATTTTAAAAGTGCTACATTTTTATTTCGCCCCATCCCTTGTTTTTGACAGCAAATTTTAGATCTTGCTGTTTCGTTTTAGTTGATTTTGCTACTTTTGTCTTTTAACCTTCATACTGGCTTTTTAAGTGCTTCATTCACTGTGTTTATTATACATTTGCCTTTAACAATGAGAGTTTTACTTTATATTATTTCTGGTTATGGCCTTTTTTTTTCTGCTTAAAGAAAACCCTTTAATGTCTTGCAAAGCTGATGCAGTACTAAGGAACTTCTTTTGCTTCTCTGGGAAACTCCCATTTAATTCTGAATGATAACCTTGCTGGATAGAGTGTTCTGGTTTGTAGATTCCTTTTTCCCAGCATTTTAAATATATCCTGCTGCTGTCTTTTGGCCTGTAAAGCTTCTGCTGGAAAAAAAAAAAAAATCAGCTGATAGCCTTACAGGATTTCCTTTGTATAGGTCTAGTTTTCCTCTTGCTGCCTTCAAGATTGATTCTGTAACCCTCATTATTTTAGTTACAGTATGTCTTGATACGGGTGTCTCTGGGCTCTTGTCTGGGACTCAGCGTTCTGGAGCTGGGTGTCCCTCCAGGTTGGGAGAGTGTTTAGCTCCCGAGTGCACTCTTCTATATTATCCACAGAGGGTCTGACCAGCCGTTCTTCAACCTTTTTCATCTCGTGACACATATAAACTAATTACTAAAATGTATTTTTTCACAAAATAAAACAAATATAGTTCTGATTCATTTATACAGGATGGCTATTGGATGGCTGATTTTCTTTTTTTTTAAATTTCACAGTCTAAGGGGAGAGAGGTCGGCGCACTGACGAAACAGTCCGGCACTGCGTGTTTTGAAAATTCTCGCGGCCCACGGGTTGGGAGTCGCTGATCTGATCTGCTGTGATCCCCTGTTGTGGTTTTCATGTCAGTTGCTGTATTCTTCAGCCCTGATTGCTTACTCCATCTTCCAGCTCCTTCTGAAGTTCTCACCGAGTCCTTGATTCTACTCTGAAGTTTGGTCAGCACCCGAATGACCATTACTTTGCTCTTTATCAGGCAAATTACTGTCTTGGTTTCACTAGAGCTCTTTCTTGTTCCTTCATTTGGGACATATTCCCTTGTCTTCTCATTTTGTTTGACTTTGTGTCTATGTCTATGAATGGGACAAAACAGCTCTCTCCCCCTCCCATGTGCAGGAGCAACCTCTGTGCACGCCGTGTGCGCCAGGCAGTCTTGCAGGCCACCGGAGCCAGCGCAGGCCTGTGTGATGCCCGGGATGCCCTGTGGGGCCAGCTGGCTGAGGCGACCCCAGGTGCACGGCTACGGCGGCACCCTGGCTGCCCAGGGTTGGCTTGGGGACAGATGGCCCGGGGCGTGCTGTGGCAGCCCTGCAAGTTGACCAGAGCACTTGGACAGGCTCCCACCCACACAGCATAGGTCGGGGCGAGGGGGGGGTTGGGGGAGTGTGACCGAGTGACACCTGCCAGCATCTCCAGTCCTGGAGGGTCCGTGTGGTTCCCCAACTTCTCTCTGCAGTCCCTCTCGTGCCGAAGCTGTTCCGTCAGCCCTCGGCTGTTTTTCAGGAGGAATCGCTGTATATGTGGGTGTCCTTTGGGTGTGTTCATGGGACTGGGTGATTTCGGGGTCGCCCTATGCCACCATCTGGTAGGATTTCCCAACAGAGTGGCGTTTTTTCCGGACACCAGCCAGGGATTCCTACAGTTCCAGTCTGGTGAGTGCAAGGTGTCAGCGTAGATCCCTCAGGCTTGAGGCACCAGGGCCACCAGGCTGTCCCGACTTTGGAGGCCGGCCCCAGGCCCTGGGCCAACACTTGCAGTTCCGACAGACTAGCTGTTAATTGGGGCTGTCCACAACCCCTTCTCCGGATTCAGTGGTTTGCTAGAATGGCTTACAGAAGTCAAGAAAAATGCCTTACTTTCATCTATCAGTTTATTATAAAGTGTGTGACTGCAGAACAGCCTAGGGAAGGAAGGCACAGAGCGTGGTGTGCGGGCCACAGGGTGTGCAGGGCGTCCGCGCCTTGACCAGGTTCTTTGGCCTGGAACCCTGTCGCCCAGCAGTCTCCGTGGAGGGTCCGTTGCATAAGCACAACTGATTTAAGTTACTGGCCATGGGGACCGAGTTCGATCGGCAGCCTGCCTCACCTCTCGGGGGGCCTAGAGGTGATGGCGAAAGTGCCAGCCCTGCGTCCCACGGTCAGTTCCTCTGGCCACTGTCCCCATCCTGAAGCTACCTGGGGGCCCACCAAGAAGCATCTCATTGGCACGGACGCAGCCCTGGTTGAAAGGGGCCTGTTATGGAAAATGAAAGATGCTGCTGTCTCCTGTGTCCCTCGGGAAATGCCAGCGGTTGTGGAAGCTGTGTCAGGAGCCTCCACGGAGATCAAGTATATACCAGGTGGGGCAAAAGTAGGTTCACAGTTGTGAGTGCACGAAACAGTTCATTCTTGTGTTTTCCATGTGAACAACTGTAAACCTACTTCTGCCACACCCTGTATCTCTTTTCACTATTTTTAAAAAGTGTTTTCTTTTCACCAAGTTACTATCTTTCTTCTTTAAGGATGCAGAACTGCACAGCAAGGGTAGCTTCTGAGCGCAAGGATAATGTCCCAGAGGGTGCGTGCGGCCCTTTTCTGCTCAGCATCGAGCTCCTGCTCCGCACGGGCGGGCGGCCCCCTCCAAGACCTGGGTGGAGCCTGCTGGCTTGCAGCCCGGTGCCTCAGCAGGCCCCGGCATGACCGCGGTGGTCTGCGTGCTGTGACGGCCCAGAAAATATTAGGCCCAGCTGCGATCTGATTCAGAAAGCAGGAAAATGTGTGTTTTTAAGAGAGTTCCATCTGCCATAGTCAGCATTTAGCTCTTTAAAGTGGAGAATCTTTACAGGGACAGTTCTCATTTGTCTAACCTCCCCCACCCCGCCCCACGCAGCTCCACCTTAACGCCCCCTTTCCGGCCTGTGGCCCATACCTTTATCACACGGGGCACCGCTGGGCAGCTGCCTCCCGAGACCCATTGCTGTCCACGACTCAGTCCTGAGGATTTGAGACGATGGACATTGAACCTTCAACCTGCCATTTGTTGCCCTTAATTCGACCAGTGTCTGTACTTCACCAGAGAGTCACCGCTTCTCCAGCACAAGCTGCAGCGGCAGGTCAATGACGGGGCTGCCTCCGGCCCCCGGTACCCGTGAGAATGGAGGCACAGCTCCAGCGGCTGCAGCCCCACTCACCCTCCACGCGGGGTGTGGCCCGAACACTGTACTGGATAGCCCTGGTCTGGGGGACACAAAAAGTATGTCCTGCTTTTGGAAATTCTGGAACTGATCTGAGCTGGTATTTCCAGGACACTCCCTAGCTGAGTGATGGGCCCCTCATTTCACAGGGGCAGTCCCTCTGCAGGTAGGGCCAGTGCTGAGCCCCGCTCCGACCTGCTGGCGCCCTGCGGGCACGCCGCAGGTGGGTCTCGGCCAGCTCCCCGAGGGTGCGGGAACACACAGTTTCTCACTGAGAGCACGTCACTGCGAGGAAACACGCTCTGCCCTGGCCATGACCGCTGCCCTGGCCGTGACCTGCCCGGCCCTGTGGAAGGAGCTCTGGAGGGCCTCTCAGACCTGAGAGGAGAGAGTGAAATTCGGGTGAAGTTTCACAGTATTTCACTGTCAGTTTTGCTGTTCACAATGATCTCCGTTAGATGAAATGTAATCAATTTTAAAGATTCATCAGTGTATCTTAAAGAGGGGAAATAAGTATTCGCATTTTCCCATCAAATGTCTTCTAACTTTGTGAAGAAAGGTCATTCTTTTGGGGTGAAGAGTTCCAAAGCTCTACGTTTAAATTATAAACAATCAAATCTGATCATACATCACCATAAGAATCAACAACTTCTCTATTGAAAAATGTGGCAAATGAAATTTCTGTTTCTAAGAATGCAACTGAACAGAAGTTACTTGAAACTTACCTTGGAGGTGCGTGTACTGACTGAGGTTTGGGGACCTTTTCCCTTGCGCACACGCCGTGCGGGTCAGGTGAGCTCTGCTGTGGGCGCTGGCTGGCGGTGGACCTGCAGCCCTCCTCCGCCTGGGCTCCGCTGCCCCTGGCGGTCGCTCCACTCGTCAGGGCTGTGTCCTTTTCCAGCAAGGGCAGAAGGAAGCGCAGGGGCTTGCGGGCTTGCAGAATTCCTAAGGTAAAATTCTGACTTTTTCCTCCTCTTAGAATGTTATTCCCGGAAGCTCAGCGCTTGGAAAGCACCGGGAAGCTGCTACAGGGGGCAGAGGTGGACCCCACGCTCCGCCCCACCCAGCTGTCCGTCTCCCACTTCGGGAGCCTCTGCGACGTGTACCGGAAAATGTGTGACGAAGACCCACACCTCTTCGCTTACAATTTCAGAGAAGAATGCAAGAGAACTAAGTGCAAAAGTCAGGAACCAGAGGACGACAGGGAGATTTCCAGGCTGTAGCTGCCGGGCAGGGGCGAGCAGCTCACCGCGCGCCGCCCGTCACGAGGTCGGGCTTCTCGTGAGTGTGCTCTGCCTGCCGCGGAACGAGGGGACTGCCAGTTACCAGAGGGGCCCCTTCCCCATGCCCCGCACAGCTTGGTAGAGAAAATAAACGTGATAATCAAGTTACAGTACGAGCTTTCTTTTAATATATACTGCATAGATATGACATGTTTGGTATAAACAGCATCTATTACAACCTTACAAAAATGAAATGTCTGCACATTGTGCCCCTAACCCACACTGAAATAATTTAAATATGCTTTAAATAAAGCAGAAACTAACAGCTCGAAGAAAATGCCCAGAGGATTGGAAAAAAAAATGACTTTTTTAAAAAGCTATTGATCACAACTTCCCCACCTTTTTCCACATAAATTAAAATAATTAGACTGCAGTTTTAAGAGTTCTAAGTCATTTTGATTCCTGCTCAAAAGGGATGTGACCTAATTTACAGATTCTGACCAGTTTAATCTAGTTTTCTGATCCACAATAAATTAAAATAACTTAAGTCTTTACAGCAATTTTGTGGGAAAAATGTATACTGCACAAACCCCAGCGACGAGTCGTTTTCCTGCAGTCTGCACCTCGCCACCAGTTCAGAGGCGAGGCGAGCAGCGTGGCCCACGTCCGGGCGGACCCACTAGGAGTCCCCGTGGCTCCCCGCGTCGTAAAAACACTCCTCGCTGACCACCGCCGTCAGGCTCTGCACGCTGAATTCTCGCTCGAGGACGGAACTGAGGTCCAGGCTGGCGTTCTCAGACTGACTGTCGAGGGACTGGTGCCGCGTCTGTGCCCTCAGCAGGGTCCCCCTGTCCCTTTTGGTGCTGTTGGCCTTCCGCTTAATGGCGCAGAAGTGCCCCCGGACCAGCCTGCGCTGCTGCTGCTGCGGCGGCGCCCCGGGCGGGCCGTCCGTGCCCTCCGTGGCGGGCCCCCGCTCGGCCGGGCCAGGGTCCGGGTCCTCGGAGATGCTCAGCCTCCGGAACTGGATCTCGATGTCTTTGGTGGGGCTGCCCTGCCTCAGGGCCTGGTGGTAGTCCTCGTCCTCGTCGCTCAGAATGTCGCTCTCTTTGATGAGGCCGTCTGGGAAGTCTGGGAGGCCCGCGTCGGGGTGTGGCAGGGGGTCCTGCCCGCCCCCCGCCGGGGGGCAGCCGCTGCCCTGGGTGCCGCTGCTCAGGCTGCCGTCGTCGGAGTCCAGCGAGCTGCCCTTGCCGGGCTCGCCGGGCCACTCGCCGCCGCCGGAGGACTGGTTCTTGAGGACCTTCAGGGACCTGGAGGACGCTGCAGGGAGAAGAGCACAGGGCCCCTTGGGACACAGAAACGCGCCACAGTGCGCGCTGTGTGCGCCGGAAGCTGTGCGGTTCCACACCTGGGTTTCTCACGGTTTTATCGTCTCACTTCGGTCACCAAGTGTCCTGGAGCTTCAGCAGAAAACTAAACAAAACATGTGGATACTAAAAGTATGGAAATTCTATCTGAAACTTGACGTTGAGGGATTTGGTATTTTCAGATGATCAGTCATCGGAGCTCAATTATTTAGATAGAAAAATAAGCTGTGAACTTCTGAGGGCCAGGATTCTCATTTTGCTAATGGATAAATTGAAGAATTCATTACAAAATTTAGGTTCCCTGTCTTCACTAACTTACTTGGTGATATGATAACCAAGACGATACTCTCTTTCTGGGCCTAGCTTCTCACTGTTTATTTCCCTCGCTGCTTAATTAAAAGTGGAAAATGCTCTCTCTCTCTCATGGGAGCTGTCTCTGCTGGAACTTCCAACCAACGTTCAGAGGTTCAATAGGAACGTTTCATCATTGTGTGGGGGTGTCTGTGGTTTCTCTTGGGCTGGGGGGTGGAACTCTGCTGTGGTGTCTGTGCAGACGAGCCCCTGATTTCACAGCCACGGCTTACTTTGGCAAGAGAGGGGGAAAAGTAGAAGTTATCTAGTTAATTTGAAGAGCTCAAACCCTGACCAAAAAAGACATACATACATTTTGTAAGTGTTAAAAAAAGATCAAAGATAATTAAAACAGTTAATATAGAAAGAAGTGTCTGAAAACTTAAGGTCAAAGTCTGAAAACAGGCAGAAAGTGTAAGACCAGAGGGATTTGGAATGTTTACCTCCTGACCTCTTGATTGGGTAAGAATGAGTGTTTAGGTTTCTCCATCTTAGCTGGTGGAGTACTGACTTTCTAGATGCCTCGCGCTGTTCCGAGCACTGGGAGTGCCGCGGTGGGCAGGACCGAGTCCCTGGACTCCTGTCCGTCTCGTGGGGGGGCAGGTCAGGTGGTGAGCAGAGCCCGTGTCAGCTGGTGCTAAGGCGGGGGGTGTGGAGTTGAGGGGGGGGGGTGGTGTATAAAAGGAGATTGGGGAGCAAGGGGTGTGTTTAGGCTTCTTAAAAGAAAATAAAGTTGCCACTGCTGTCTGGCACTGCCACGTGCGTGTGGGTGTCTGGGTTAGAGCTTACGGTTCCCGGATAATTCACGAAGTGGTGACTTACCACCGCGTCACGAGCGCCTGTCTCCTTTCAGGGGAGCTCAGCGCTGGGGAACGCACTCGAGGCTAGCAGAGTTCTCACCTAATTTGGCCGAGACGGGAACCCGGTTCTTCAGGGGCACCAGGCGATCCTTGCACGTTTTCTCCAGGGGAAATTCACTCTTGATGTGACGCCTGAAGTTCTCCCTCAGAATGGATCGAATCACCTTGACGATGTTGGTTTTGCTTTCGCTGTCACTGGGGGCCGGGGCAAGAGGGAGGAACAGCATTAGTGTCCAGTGTCATCGTGCTCCGAGTCCCTGTCCCCTGGTCCTCCTGTAGCACGTTGCCGCTCTAAGGACAGGCTGACAGCAAGCCCCCAACCGCTGTGCGCCTCGTCTCCCCACAGAAGGAGTGAGAACTGACGCCCGTGGGGCTCTAGGAGTTGGCACATTTTCAGTCAGTGTACTCTATACGAGCGCCACGACTGTCCTCGGGTGGTGCGATCCCGGCGTCATCAAAACGCAGGAGGGCCCTAAAAGTAAACCCCCCTTTTCAGAGCCCATCATTCTATCTCATTCCCGTTCTCGGAGTGGGCAGTACCTGCAGCACAGCTGGAAGATGGTCTCTGGCCGCCCTTCCGTCTCTGACTTGGTGTGGATCAGCTCCCATATGGAATTATTTTCTGTCCCTGGCAAAAGGCGAGAGAAACGACAGTGCACAGCTTTGCCAGCGAGGCTGGTGACGAACGCGTGGGAAATGTGAAACCCATCACCTAGTCACTTCTTCAAACGCCGCGTGCGCCCAACCCCGATTCTCATCCTGTGGCGCGTTCTGTGCACGACTTCCACAAGTACTTCCACCACGAGGCTGAAATGCTTTTTAGCTACTTTTTGCATTTCCTGCAGAAGTTTCCCATCCACTTTAGTGCTTCCCCCCTACCCCTGGGTCCCATCTCTCCGGGGAAGGCGTTAAACGGGTCCCACGTTTCCTTGGAAGGAAGAATAAGCAAGAAGTGCCCGGGTTCTCGAGGGGAGAGGGGCGCAGCCCAAATTCAGGCGTGTTGTGGGGAGCATACGCGCTCTGACAAAAATTAAACAGACGCCTAGAAGGTCACTGCCTGCTGGTTCTGCCCACCAACACAGCTTTGCCAACGTTTGTGGGTCTGGTGACACTGTCACCAGAACACAGTCATTGTGGAAGGATTTCTCCACGTTTTACAGGGCTGAAGATCTTTTTTCTTTTTACATCATTCATGATACTGCTTTGTGAGGAATTTAACAAAGTTTAGGATATTAGGCAGGAAGGAAAATGTCGAAAAAGCATTGATAGTAAAAATAAGGACCTAAGAAAAGCCATCCACCGGCATTTACTTCCGTCAGAAGTCTGTGAGGAGACATCCTCATTTTCCTTGTCTATAAAACACCAGCAATTATCCCCAAGGTTCTTTCTCACGTTCTCCCCACCATCCAAATAAGTCTCGTAAAACGTGTTTTCTGGCGTCGCACCGCGGGAAGCACCTACCTGCCGTGTTGCCCAGCCTGACCTGGAGCGCGGATATGGGGATCAACCAGCGGAACTTAAATGGGTCCAAGTCGGCGGAGCTGTGCGCCGGCCGGGAGTTTGAAGGCTGTAATACGAAAGTCCCCAAGAAAAGGTTAAAGCGGGCTCTCGCCCAGGGGCCCACATGCACCGGGGGGGACGCCGGGAGTTCCCCCAGGTGCCAGCTCCCCGCAGCTGGTGGGTGTATTCGGGGCGCAGGGAAGAGTCGGCTCAGGCACGCCCCCAGTTCTCCAGGGGCTCGCAGGCTGCACAGGGACTGGGCGGGGCCGTGGTTTGGGGAGCAGAGAGTTTTAGGTTGCCAGGCGAGAACGATGACCAAGCCTGATTGGTCAACTGGAGGCTTACAGTACCCACAGCTAGCTTTTTGGGGGGGAGGGGAGGGGAGTTCAAGGTTAAAAGTCATCTGAAAACAAACCAGAGTTACACAGACTCGCATGTGTGTGGAGCAAGCCTGGACCATTTTCAGAGACAGGGAAGCTGATTTTCTGTGTAGGTCAAGGATGGGTATCTGTCTACCTCTCCTTAGAAAATGGACACCTTTTGCAGGGAAAAAAGGAAATATCTGGAGTGCTTGATTTGGTTATTACCCTGGCAGTAAGTACGATCAGTTAGTGATGCCCGGGTTCTTAGCTGGCTTCTCAGTTCAACGCTAATAGGAAAATACAGCCATGAAATGGTAGCTTTGATTAAAATTCATTCTTGTCTTACCAATTTCTTTTTCAGTTTGCAGTTTTCTTTATAAACCAGTATGACAGCTCTCTTAAAAACTAAGGAAAAGAAAAGAGAAAGTCTTTCATTATTGTATACAAACTCTTCCGAGGTTCAGCTAGAACTGAATACTTCAATAGAACGAAACTCTTCCAACGCATGAGCCTCCGAGATCTCGGTATGCCAGCACATGAGTGAATAAATGGTACTTCTTCCATGCACATGTGAATATGCAGAAGCACCTGCCTATTTAAAAATATTATCTGATGTAGATCTTAGAATTTTAAAAAATTCCTGCTTCATTAAAGCCTGAGAACATGGTGTTCGTCTCAGAGAAGAAACACGGTCTACACTCGCTGTGCCGGCTCTCGGTGAGAATTAAGAC